CATCAACAATAACGAAACGCCGTCATTGCGCCCAGTGAATATGGCCGCTGTGACGTAATTTCAGCCGCAATTTTTACGCCCTGCGCCGGCTGGGCATGCCATCTCCTACATTTCCTTCCTCCATGTTATCACGCATCTTTCTCCGCAGGTGCGCAACCCTTCCTTCGTTTTCGAAGATAAATGCCAGATGGCGCTCGTGTATACCGTGCTTTGATGCACTCGTTCGCTTCTGCGGCGTGCTCTCTAACGCGGCGCCTCCGGAGTACCATTCACCGATTTTCTTGCACAGAACATCAAATAAATGTTTTGTTCAATCTCTTCATGCGCAAGACTATCGTGTTTCGATGGCATATGCAGAGTGCATGGAGATACGGGGCCCATTTTTTTCTCGGAGCATCTGTCCTTGAGCGTCCTCAGGAAAATGTGGTAGTGGGCATAGTGTAACTTGAGCGTTGGTTGCCAAACGAGACTTTACAAGGTCAGGCAAAATGGCCCGTTGAAACCACTAAACACGTATTTGCACAGATGCAGATGCACCAAGAACGTGAATAGTGCGCGAGAGTGATGTAGAGCGATACACTCGTCGTATATCGTGAATAGCTTCCGTCTGGTCCATAATAATGATGAGCTGGGAGCATCTGCCTGGTTGTAGAAGAGGTAGCAGCGCTGCCAGTTCATCACATATGGCGGCTAGCTCAGCAAGGTGAGCCGGTGGTGTAGGATCCGCAAAATATGAGCATCTCTGGCCAGCCTCTGGTATTATTGGACATACAACCGTGGTATGAATGGCAGTACCGCTCACACTGGCATCCGTAAAAGTGAGGACAGTAGTGGAATCTATGTTATCTCTACGAAGCAGGCAGTATACATGGGCGTTTGCCTGGCGTGGAATCGGGCTGTGAAGCCGACCAAGGGGTTTGTTTTCAGTCGGTTGCATTTAGTTCTACGGGGGAATAGTGGTCGTCTCTAAAGGTGTGTGGTGAACTTCTTTGCCCATGTACCACGCCAATGCAACAACTTATCACAACGTTATTGACGTTAGGTTGCGCGCACAGTGACGCTGATGCACTAATTCATCAATTGTGTTTAGTTGGGACTCCTGTTGAAGTATTGTGAGTGGAGTTATGCGTGGCAGTCCAGTTATGGCGCGCATTGCTTCGTTGTTGATCGCCTCTAGACGTGCCTACTCTGCCAACGTGAGGTGATAAAACTGAGCGCGGTAAACGAGCTTTGGCTGCAATATCGCATGAACAAGGAGGCGAGCCATGTTCGAGGTAGCACCACCAGATTTCTTCGCTATCCTTCGTATGAGGTGTATTGTTTCTGATGCCTGCTGCTTGGCACTCTTGACACAAGGTCCTGCGGATCTGGTGGCGTAAATTTCCAGGCCAAGCCCGCGGAGATCTCAGGCTTCGAGTAGTGGTTGCTGATCCAAAATTAACTGCAGAAGCCGGACTTCCAGTTTTTCGACGTCCGTACTTGTTCGCAATCAACATAAACTTCGTTTTTTTTTCTTTGTAGATTTCGAGACCAATCCGTGTGCACCAGTTGTGGGTTATTTTGAATGCCTCTTGCAATGATTGTTCTTGACAGCTGATTTCTGGGTGCACAGTCCAAAGAGTGATGTCATCTGCATACATTATTATTTTGCATGGTGTATTACTGCAGCTTCTGTGCCAGTGGGAGGAGGGCCACGTTAAAAATAACTGGTGCCAGCACAGATCCCTGTGGGACACCTCTATTAAAAACAAAATTTCAAACTGGCTGACCAGCTTGGTAAATGGAGAAGCTACGATCGTGAAGAAAGGCTTCAACAAACGCGCACCCTTTACTGGGAAATTTTAGCCAGTGGAGAATTTTCACAATAACGTCATGACTCACATTATCATATGCTTTACAGATGTCCATATACAGAATGCTGCGAACACATCGAGATCGACCTCCAACAAGAACCATGAATGAGATGTAGACAAGGTCATCCTCAGTGCCCAGATGCCGACGGAACCCAATTTGGCCAGTATGATATCAGGAGTACTTCTCGAGCCACTACGTATTGCGTGTCGCTAGCATACGCTCTGTCAGTTTGCTCAATGTTGACGTGAGAGCTATCGGACACATCTGTGCTATATTTCATGGGGATTTTCTTGCTTTAGGAATGGCACCCATTTCTGCATTCCACCAAGAGTCAGGAATGGTTCCAGTATTCCAATCATTGTTTATTATTTCTAACAGGACAAGTAGAACCTTGCCTTCTGTGTTTTTGTAAACTTCATAAGGTAAGCCATCTGGTCCCAGTGCTTTGCTCGGCTTTGATAGGTCTATTGCTGATAAGAGTTTGGTCATAGTGACATAATTCTGTATTTACTGTGCATCGGTAAGTGTGGTAAGCATACCTGCATACGCTGGCAGGCAGTTCTGAGCCATGAATTGAGGTGGAGTCATGTCTAACGCAGGAAAGAATGTGTGGGGGACGATGTCAGCGAATGTGGCTGCAGTCTGGCCAGAGGCTAATAGGGCGCAGGCTGCGTAGTCAGGAGGCTGCCGACCACCTTCTATGTGGCTT